CTCAAGGAGGCAGGTTCTCCCCCCCCCCCCGCTTTCGAAGCAGGCTTCCAAGACCTTTGGCTTCACTTCAGTGAACGGAGACGCTTCCCACCAGTTAGAACCTGGCGGCTTGGAAGGGAGGGGCCGGCCAGCTCGGCCTTCCTACCTGCGGCCTCTGGTGCTGGCCAAGGAGCCTCCTGGACGGAGGGCCCCGCCGTCTGCTCCTTCGCCCCGAGTCTCCAGTTTTCTTTGCTGCAGCAGCAGGTTTTACAGAGTGCCAAATTTGATCTTAAGCTGCTCTGGGATCCCTGCAAGCCATCCTGTCTTCTGCTCTTTTATTTTCGTTACCCTCTGACTTATTAATGAGGAGCTGCTGAACGCAGCATCCGGACACTGAGCTGGCTCGGGCCCTGCGGCTGGGCTGATATCACGTCATGCCTTCCTGAAGATGCTGCAGAAGGGGAATGAAGAGCAGCCCCGATCCCGGTTTAGCCTGGGACGCTCCTTGGCCTGAGCAGAGCCACACGGGCAAGAGTGTTTGGGTTGGAGAGCTTGTCCCTAGCCCCAGCTAGGGCAAGCGGGAGGGTCTTGAAAATGCGCCCTGAATACGCTCAGAGTTCGTCACTCCTCCTCCAAACGTGGGCCTCACCTGTCCTACTGTACATTGCATTCATGGCCCGTCGTTGCTCCATCCAGTGCTGAATGGCTTGAGAAGGATCCTCTGGGATCTACAGGCAGACCTGCTGAGCTTCAGCAAAATTGCGGCCGGGCACGCTTAAGATGGTCATTGCACAATCAGCACGCCTCAACCTGACGCCCTCTGGCCTTCTTGTGCCACAAGTTGCAGAATTCTGGGAACGGCATTTGCCATGCAGCTGGAGGGCATCAGGTTTGGAAAGACGACGAGCTCCCAGGCCTGACTGAGAGGGTTCATTGCAAATGTTCCAAAGGTGAGCACTGATGCAGAAAACTGTTCTGGGGCAGAGACACTCACATTCAATCCTAGCGGATAAGAGTTGCTTTCCTGGCCAGGGCAAGAATAGGACTAGAATCTGGTTTCACTTCTGGGAAGCTCCCCTCATTCAGCTCCTCTTGCAAAGGGCAGGTCGAGGGATGACTTGCGCGCTCCTGCAATTCCAAATCCAGAAAGCTCTTCAAGCGGTTACAATTCCCGTGGACCAAATCACCCAAGGGTGCGCTTTGCATGAGCGTGTTTATTTCCATTTCCTCTGTGAGGGAAAGCATGGAAGCTGCAGCTAACCGCTCTGAAGGAGGAGGCCAGAAAAGCTGGCTACTTCCAGCTGACAGCAAGTGGATAAAAGCCCATGCGATCGTGGTGACGGATGACGGCTGGGAAGACCAGGTCCAAGGCCTCCCTTGGCCGTGGAAACCACTGGTGTCTCGAGATGGCTAAATTGGCTTCTTTGATCAGAAAAAAAAAATAGTATTTATGTCTATTGCGCACTGGAAACCCCTCATGGACTTCTTGCGTAAAACAAAAAAAATGAACTTTTGGTTATTAGACAGGATAGATTATAGAAAGAAGAAAGTTAAGTTGTAACCATAGAGTAAGAGGTAAATTTATGATTGTACCTATAACTGCTGTAAAGAAGATTGGAAGCTACTTTTTGTATCTTTTTCTTTCTTTTCTATTTTTCTTTCTTTTTTCCCTTGCTTGAACTTTTAGCGTTCTCTTTGATTTCTTTCTTTCTTTTTCTTTTTCTTACTTTATATTAGTTTGTATTAGTTTTTATCTTCCTTCTTAAAAATCTTTAATAAAAATTATATTTATGTATGTATGTATGCATGTATGCATAAATAAATAAACAAATAAAAGGAAACCACCAGTGTCTTTGAGGCAGCCCAACCTCCCTCACAGGATGGTTGTTGTGGAGAAAACC